CCCTCCTCGTGATTGTCGTTGAAGATGGAAAACCCTGAAGAACAGGGGAATCCTCGCCCCAATTCTCAGGAAACGACAAGTTAGCTCGAATGCCCGAAGAAAGGCAATCGCGTTGGGGTGAAGCTGGGAGGGGGCCAGGTTCAGATGGTTGAAAACCCCGACCTGGAAGTCGTTGAAGGGAAGCCGAAGACCAAGATCCATGAACACGATCTCGTACATGGGGAATGCATCCTGGGTGTACTCCGAGTAGATGCGAGCATCCCTCGCCGACCTCATTATTTTAAAGTTTCGTTGAAATCCTTCTTGATTACCGCCGTACTCGACAATGGTATAAGCTTGTCTGTTGTGCTGGCTATACACCAAAGTAATTCCCCGGGGCTTGGCGCCCACCCAGTCCAGTGTGGGGTCATCGACGGTGTCGACCAGGGTAATGTTCTCTTCTACTGTACTTGCATCCTCGACATCGTTACGCCCCGAGGACTCTGGATTGTCGGCCATTTACCTGCAAAGTACAGGAAACCGGTGAATTCGACAGCAAATCCACGTGCCCGCCACAAAGGCCGGGAGAAGTAAGCAACGCTCAGATCGAAACTACAACCATTCGCGAGAGAAACGTGAAACAAGTGGATCTCGACCAAACACCGATACCCTAGCACCGACCATGCATCAATCATGAACGACACAAGCGTAACATGAGCACCCCGGGCGAATCTCGAATCACGCGACCAAGTTCATAATTTCGCTTACCCGATGCTAGAACACTGCGGGGAGACTAACCTACATACTACCGAAAGGATGAATATCCCAGTCAAGTTCATGACTCTACCGACCAAAACGCATGAGTGTCGCGGGCAAGATCATGAATCATATGCCTAAACTTATGAATGTCTCGGGCACAACCATGAATCAGGCGCCTAACGCGCTTAAATCTACCGGGCATAACTTCCAGATACAAGTTTCTACTAGCAAACGTCATCAAAACTATCTACAACACAGGAAAGCAAAGAGAAAGGATACTTACTTGGAAGAAGATGCGTATAAAAAACGATGCTGGAAGTAATCGGAAGGTGAACGGCGCGGCCGTCTCAACGGCGTTACGGGAACTCACGACAGTAAAAACAGAGAAAGTATGAGAAGCCTGAAGAGGTGAAACAAACTATGGGCCCTGGGATCCTATTTATAGAGATGATATGGAATATGGAACATCGCATCGGGGAACCACGAACCGTCCCCGTCCTCGACACCTACTCACCTAGACAATAATGACCCTATTCACTAGGGCGGCGTTACGATTTCCAAGGACTACGCCACATGTCCAACAGACGCAACTGATGCATCCCCGCGAGCAACCCTCGAGCACACCTCGACATGGAAAGCCCTGCGTCGGGCACGAGGTCCCCGCGGAAGAGCAAACTGAGATCAAGTCATAGCTCCTGTGCCAAGAACAACGACTTGGAGGGCTCCTGTTCTGGACTGGGCCTGCCCTTGGCTCAAAACGCAAGTAAAGGCCCAGATCCAAGCCGTGCCTCGAGCTATGCTCGGAATCAGACCACCCGAGCATACCCAGTCACGGGCCACAACGGCCATGCCCGCCGCTGCCCGCAACGAGAAGCGTCCCCGACCGAGGATACTCCAACTCGAGCCTTGCTCGAGCATCCTCCCCGTAGGGCAGACCCAGTCCCTCCGGATGCTACGGAATCCTTAGAGCTCCGGGAAGATCGCGTCTTCGTTCTTTCTCATTCTTCACAAAGCATCATCCAGGAAGGGGACCACGTGTGGGTCCCTACTACACACGTAGAACCTGGCAGTCCCTTTGTTGGGCCAGTTTTGGTCGGCCCAATAAAGGGACCTTGGCTCAGCGCTGAGGGCTATAAATACCTTTTGTTTCAAGAGGGTCAGATATTCATTTGTTACGCACCTATATATTATTTGCCTGCTCATTCCGTCTCTCATTTTATCATCGGAGTGTCTTGCAGGTACCCCCACCACTTCAAATTCAGTTCGAACCAGCTGTGACGGTCCAACTCTGAAGGTGCAGATACTTAATTTTAACTGTTTCATCAAAATACAATAAAATATTCTGCTAGGGTCTTGGTTAATTTATCCCATGTTTTTGCGTTCCTTACAATTTTCCTTGTATGTTTATGAGTCTTAACGGGCACCCTAGCTACTGCATATCACAGAAAAAATTTACTGATATAAAATGACAATTTTCATCAAAAATGTTGAAAAATATAATAATTATACAAGACTTGCCCTTATTGTTGCATAAGTTCACGTAGCATAGATGTGAGTGAACTATGCTGCCTTGTTGCATAACTCGTTGGTATTAGAGTTTAATTCCTCATATTTCCCTTACAATGTTTCAAAACCAATATAACGAGGGTCAATGTTTTCAAAACCAAATGTCCTATAGGTGAAGTTAGTGTTTCCATAAATTTACAAATGATCCAGGTTCAAAATGGGAATCCAAAACTAGGAGTATATAACGGTTTTGTTTAGATCAAGTTTTCATTCAAAAAATTGTTTAAACCAATGAAGCTTACATTGGTTTAATTTTTTTAGAAATGAAATCGAGTCAAACTAATTGATTTGGTTAGGTTGGTTGGTTTGAATATTTTTTCTAATACACATTCATCTTATAACAAATCTATTTCATGCTATTACCTTTTTTTCTTCAATAAATCAACTTAAATCAAACTATTCCATGCTTTTTATTTTTCAAACAAGCTACATATTCAAATTAAATAAATCCATACAGCATACTTAAAATTGTGATAGTTTATCATTAAATACAACTTATATCTATCCTAAAATTAGACAAATTCATACAACATACTTAAAATAATGAGAATTTACCATCAAATACAAATAAGTTTTTTTTCCCGCGCATGAGCCAAAATTTGTGTTAGATTGACGGTAGATGACTCTTGAACCGATGATGCTGGTCTTTGATACAGTGACGCAAGGTGAACTCGCAAGGTTAAAACTTCAATGCAGAAATCAATTGTCGAGTCTAAGATGAGTGAAGTAAAAATTGAATATCAGAAAAGTGTACCTTGGATTTCATGTGTCTTGATTATATACGTTGGATAATTTTGATTGGGTTTTAAATGGTTGAGTTTGATATTTTGATTTCACTCACATTGAACCTTTGGTCGACCCATAACAATTACCCCCAAGGCTTGTTGGGTGCTTACCATCAGGGAAGCCTTTAAGTGGTGGGTGACGTCTCGTTATTACATCCGACCATAAAGGAGAAGTGAGAAGGCCATGGAACAGTTAAATAAGTAATGGAGAATATGTGTATTAAATGTCTTTTCATCATTGAGACGTTTCATCGAGTTTTCATACACTTGGCTTTAAGCTTGCAAGTTAGGGCATGCCACATTTCTCTAGGACATTCGAGTGCAATTGAGTTCACTTGTATTCCTAAGGCAAAATCTGGACGTTGATTTGTAACTTCCCATTTTCCTTTTGATTTGGACGTTTCCGCTCTCCTCTATATAAAGGTCTATTGACTTCTTGAGATGACTTTTCGTCATTTGAGAGAGTCAATTTTTCTTTGTGAGGGAGATTTCCTTACTTCTCTGGAGCATTTTCTTGAGCATCCGTCTTCATCAAAATAGAGCTTTCCCATTCTGTATTTAATTTATATCTTTTCACCAGATTATATTCTCTCAAAGTACCTTTCTTACCCTAAGTTTATTTCTTCACTCTCAATATTTATTTTGTTATGGCTCGTAAAATGACCATCCTGTAATTTTTTCTAGTGATTTTTGGAGTAGTGATTCTTTCTCTTTAGTTAAAGTAGAAATACCTTCTAATTAAGATTCCCACAATTCAAATAACAATCATTCATTTCAGTCGTTATAAATGTGTTCGATAGTTTTGAGTCAAATGGATTTTCTGATAGTTCTCTTGATAAAGAAACTTCCTTTGCTGAGTCTTCTTTCGATGACCTCCTTTCTGATAAAGAAGTTAGAGTTGATCGTGTAGTATGTTCTGCACTCATTCCATCCTTAATTACATGAGATTTATCCATTCACGCTTTAACCACGTTGGAGATGGAAGTTGTTGCCTTGAATAGGTAAAAGGCTTGAAATTTCATCAAGGCTTACCATACTACTTATGATCAGGATCTAAATGATGTTGAAATTATAGATTATCTAGTGCATGTGACCTAATCTAAGGAGTCGATTGGCTCAAACCCTTTGATATCTTTTGGGCGTATGAGATACCTCTAAAGAGTATTGCGCTAGTGTAATCGATTGATGCAATTAAGTATAACTGAGTGGACTCTAAAAACTATTGGGAACCCCTTATGCTTTTAATAATCCTACAGTCATGAGGTAGGCTAATATTCAAGTAGGCAAACCCTTTGATTGGTCAGTTCTCCTCGTGGAGTTAAACAAAAGAATTTGCAACAACTTCAGGGAATACTTTATTCCTTTCGACGAATATTTATTTACCTGGATAATTTATTTATCTGGATAATTTATTTACCTGAATAAATTTGTGGTTGCCTTTGTCCAAGTTTTGAAGTGTAAGTGTTGAGGTATTTGAAGGTTTCCGCTTTGCAGCTACACCCTGACGTTTGAGCTTTTAGAATGACATTCTAATTCTGAGCCAATTATCGGTCCTTGAAGCCATCATGTCAATTGTTCTTCCATCTTTTTGTTGTGATACTTACTTCTAGGAATAATATACGGGACCAAGGGCTCATCATAGAGCGCTATGAAGTTCTCTAGTGTAGCCCTTGCATTGAGAGTTGGGATGATTTCAGAGATCATTTCTGGTTGGTGAAGCCATGTACTTTGAGGGCTCACTCCATGTCCTGTCAAGTTCTTACCGAGTTTTCCTGCTCTACCAACTGTAAGTGATTTCCCCTTCGTCCATGCACACATAGATTTAGGAAGTATTGGACTTGGGTCTATTTCTAACGTGAACCTCATGAATATGCTATACGTTTGGATTCTCTCACTCCTAACAAGATTGATATGAAGAAGGATCTTAACGCTTTTTATGAGAATATACGGGGAGGGGTTTGGTCCTACCGAGGTAAAGGCTTTTATGCAAAGGAAATGATCCATCAATATTCCCGCTATCGTGGGCGCGACCAATAGTCTGGAGAGGAAGGAAAATTTTGGTGAGGATAGTCATTTCATCATAGGATTTTTTACCCGGGGTGTTTGATATTTACAGATAAAATGAATTCTTTGAAGAAGGTCTTTGACATTGATAAAGAGCGGGAGGCTCAAGGTGTCATTGTTTACTCTTCGGCTCGAGCATGTACTCCTCCTCTAGTTGTTCCTAACATATTAGCTACTATCAGAGTCTCCATGGTCTCCCTTGGTCCAGACCAACCTTCTTCTGAGGTTAATGCTTAAGCTCTTGAGGACCATACTCAATCTCCTCTTATTAATAACAAAAGGGATCTGGACCAGGATCAAAGTCCTTCCTTGAAGGGAGGTTTTTTTAAATGGATCTGGTTGTTTAGGGCTACTGCTTCTAGGTGATCCAGTCCTCTGCTCAAGTTATCAACTATTTTACCATCAAAGATTCCCGCACCTCTCAAGAGGCACTTACTACAATCTTTGAAGAGGATCTTGCTTATCTTCAAAACCTTCCTGAAGCAGAGAAGATGGAACTATTCTCAGAGGTCACTTTCTACACTTACCAGACTATTTCTCTCTTTTCCTTTGTTGTTTTTGGTCAGGGTGATGTTTTAGCTATGGGTAATTCGTCTAAGGAAAGGAATATCTGGAAGGGGAAATGTAAGGAAGCTGAGCAAGAGAAATTAAAGCTTCTACGAGAAATGTTAGTTCTTCGTAAGAAGGAGAGTCAGGTCAAGTATCTTCATTAGGAGGCAAAAGTTCATGGATCCCTTCCCTCTCTTGCTGCCAAGATTGATGAGCTTAAATCTTCTCTAAAAATGGAGAAGAAGTCTCGGGATGAGCCCGACATTGCTGTTGCAGAGATGAAATCCCGTGATGCCAAGGTCGCGGTAGCTCTTCAACAAGTGAAGGAATCCAGAGCTAAGGAGCGCAAAGCCTACGAGGGATAAATGGATGAATCGAGGAAGGAGGTTGATGAGGCCCTCCAAAAAACTCTTAAAAGGGTTTATGGAGCATTCAGCCGAGCTGCCGACCAGCTGGAAACGCTTAATTCGAATACCCATATTCCCTTTATTAACAACTTGGCCCGCTCAAGGTCGTTCAGGATGGGGCCTTGGTGGAAGATGACAATAACATCCCAAGATGAAGAGCCTGTTTTTTATTTTATGTTTAATGTAAACAAGGTGTTGTACCCTTACCTTTTCCTGTTACATGTATAAACAATAATATGTATGTATTTATCTTTCTTCAATTTAAGTTTTCTTTATGCTTGTCATAACTTATTTAATATTCTTTCTGGTCATCTTGTTATACCATATGTGTTATCCTTGATTCGATCTCTTAACTTTGATTGAGTTTATGGCTTCTGCCTTTTCCATGATTGAATTAGATTATTCCATTAAGTGAGAGCTTCCACCATTTGCATTATCTTCTCTAGGTCTCTTCTATAAAGGGAACCAACAAGATCTTGAAAGCTCATTGTCACCTGCTCCTTAGGTGAAATTTAGTGTAATTGTCAAAACTTGTTGTCCCAATTGATGATAGTCGAAGTAGCTACAAATATTTGTGGTTACACATCCCATTATAATGGAACAAGTGTAACTTTTAAGCTTGTCGGTACCCCTTCCCATCGAGGGAAGTTGGTGCAAGTCTTCAGCATCACTAGGAACCGTTCCCGACCAAATATAGGGTTCATATCCCTGCTCCCAAGTTTTATCCTAGTTTAGAGTAGACGTTACCTAGGCTCCACCGCCTATGCTCTTACATTGGCTAACTCTAGAGAGAGGGCGCACCAACTGCGCTTTAAGCGTGTTTTTCCTAGTGGGATTTTGTTTCATCAACATAATTTGTGCCATATTACCGAGGATTATAACATTATTTGTGTGTACAACATTTCTTTAGGAACAAGATTTATTTATTCAAATTTAGAGGAATCGTGAGAGATACTTATCTTTTGTGCTTATGAGATTGATATGCGTCTCTTAGACAATCAACACTAGGAGGTACGCGTATGACTGAATTGCAGTCAATTTCACCTTCGAAGGGATATCAGCCAATGGAATTTATTTACTACCTTCTTCTTATATATAAGATGAGTTGTGTAGCTCAACCCCTAAAGGTTTTCATATCTGGCGTCTTGCTCAGAATCACGGGCCAACATTTTGTGGCATTTCCGCCTTTCTTGGTATCAAGATGAGTTGCTTCGATTTTCAGCAACAGGTTTCGTACCAGTCTACCTCAAGTCTATGACACTGCAACTATGAGGTATTATTCACTTTGGGTGTGATAATTCTCCCCACATTGTCCTTTAGAAGAGTTGTCTCATTGGATTGAATTACTGTGTATGTCATTTAATTGGCCCATTGAAACAAGCGATTGAAATCATCAAAGATACAATTCAATGAAGTCTCCATCGAACATTGTGATACAGTGGGAGAACTGACTTGGGTGTTTTGCATTTTATCGCAAATGTTGCGGTTAGCAAGAGTCGCCACCGACTTTTCTTTTATCCAAAAGGAAAGGTGAAAAAGCACAGGAAAGACCTTTGAGATTGTTTCTTGAGTTCGGGGGGTAGATTATGAAAAGGGAAGGTGTTAGCACCCTTTTCATCCATGGTTTTCTATGGGCTCTTAGTTACTTGCTAGACCACTTGCTTTTATTTTGAAATTGTGCTTTGTGTGGTTTTGAAAGTATTTTGTAAAAGAGGTCATTGTTTAGGCAATCTTTGTAATGACTCTTGTTCGTAAGAATGTATACAAAGATGTTTGTCTTTTTGAAAATGTTTTCAATGATTGTAAGATGTTTTGAAATGTGTGTGTTTGTTTTGAAAATAGCAAGGATAGTTGTTTTAAAATGGAGCAAGTAACTAGAAGTAATCTACCTACTCAAATGTCTTTCTGTTTCATTTTCTTTTCCTTTGACATTATTGTCTTACCATTGATTTGGTAAGCAACCCTATCTTTGGATGTAAACGGGACGGGCGTGGATCATCGTATAACCATGATTAGCAATGTTGCAATGTATCAGCATTTTTGAGGAACCAAGATCATTTTGTAAGGCAATTTTGAATAGTGTCATCGAGGGACTATGATCTTATACTTGTTTGTTTTGCTAAGATGCTTCACATGCATAATATGGCCATTTTTGTATAAGGCAACCAAGTGGAGTAACCCTAAGGATGCTAGTGTGCAAGTGTGTTATTTTCATGCTTGATTTTGTCTTGGATTAGGGTTTTCTATTTTATTTGTTTTATCTTGTTATTCAAACCCTAATTACTAGCACGGTATATAAAAGTGATAAATTGCGTAATTTAAAGATTACTACGCTATTACAACATTTTATGGGAGGGGTATACAAATTATGAATGGGGATTTGCCATAATGTAAACCTAATTTAATCTATTACAACCAAATCGAATTTGTACAAGTATTTGAATAAATAATATACAATATAAATTAAATATGCAATGTTTATGTATATGCAAAAAAAAGAAATTTGTTTTGTTTTTTTATATGAAAAAGAGTTTTGAAACAAACCTAATAATTTTAGGAAAAGGAAGTTATTTTTATAAATTGGTTAACCCTAATTTCTAATTTGTTAAAAGAAAATAAAGTTCTTTAAGTATTATTTTTGTGTATTTTTGTCTTAAAATAATAAATAATGTTTATGAAAATATTTAGTCTTTTTATATGTCAAAATAAATATTTACAAGTATGAAGGAAAAGAAATAAAAATTAATCTAAGTCTATTTTATTTTACAAGTTTATTTAAGAAAAATAGTTAATATATAATTTAATAAAAATGTTTTTTATGTGAAAATAAAATAAAAATAAACAAAATGCAATATTTATCATGTTTTATATTTTTTATGTTAAAGAAAATATATATAATAAACAGAAAATGAAAATAAAAATTAATAATAAAATGATTGGGCCAGGGGTATCCTGAGTAAATCAGGAGGTAATGTGTTAGAAAAAAAATATGAGGCCCAGTTGCTGAGCCCACGCTACAAAAATGTCAAAAAATGAAGCTGAGAAATAAGAAAAGTGCAAAAGGTAGCGCTAAGGTTCGAACCCATGACCTATGCATTTTCAGCGCGCTGCCTTGCCACTGGGGTGGCTGTACATCCGTTAGTTTAAATGAAATAAAAAATAGATAACACGAATCTCTTCCTTGCCCTGTACTTCATCTTCTTCCTCTAGCTAGCTAGCCAGACCAATCATATCTCTCTCATATCTCCATGAAAACGGAAACTTCAAACATGAAAATGGTTGTACTTTTTCCCACGATTTCAACCATGTAACTCATGTAAGCTAACAATCAAAGATCAAAACTAATTTCATTGGCCCTAATTTCAAACTTAATTTTTACAGAAATTTGAAATCTAAAATTCTATATACACAATGAATATAAATGAAATCTATGCACATGGTTGGCTTTAGCACAATAATATCTACATTTTACTTTCACAAATCGAGACCTAAGGATGCCTGTATGAAGAGATAGAAGTTAGAGTTCTTACCTCTTTCAGGTGAGATCGTGAATGGAGTTTGAGTGAGTTTTATGAAGGCCTGAAGATCCCTTTAGCTTGCCTGGACCTCCCTGAGTATGTTCCAATCTTTACCTTGTCTTGAAAGTACCTGAATCCCCCTACCCAAGTCAACCTGCAAGTTTGAAAAACAAAAATGGCAGATGGAGAAGGAGAAGTTACAGTGAAGGGATGATGGTCTGGAACACTTAGATATGATGTAGGTTAAGTGTTTAGGTGATTAGAACTTGAAACGCACGAGTGGATTTTTGGATTGCTATGCTTGGTACAAAACTGCAAGTTATGGTAGGTTTTTGGTGATAGAGAGTTTGTGAGAGTTTCTGGCCTTGAGCAATCGTGTGTTAGGTTGTAATGTGTTTGTGTATAAGTATAGAAAAGGTTTCAACTCAAATCCACACCAGGTTTCTTAGTTGTAGGCTTTTTGCTCTATTGCTTGCCTTTTAAGAAAAGTGAGGAGACAACTCTCTACATGCTTGTATAGGCCTGGTTTGAGTTGGTACAAGTCCTAGACACTTTGCTTTTTGTTGTGGCTTTGCTTATGTGCAGAAAAACAAGTGCAAGGCTCAAGGAGTGAAAAGTGCAAAAGTTATGCTTTATCAAAGTGGAAATGGCACCTTTGTGCCAAAAATGGAAATGTTCATGTACAAAGCATTGAATACTTAGCTTTAGGGCATGAAACCTTGTGTAATTCATTAATGGTGGAGTGACAAATGAGTTTGAGGCCTGAAAAGTGAAGATTTTACAACATGCTTGAGGATTTGAATTTTGTTCTTCATGAAATGGCTTGAAATCAAAGTGAGAAATCGCCAACTTCATCTCTTCGATTCTCCCTATATAAAAATGATCTCAAGGAGTTCTTGGACATTTTGGAAATCTTGAAATGTGATATGTAAATCATATTTGAAATTCTTTTCAAGATTCCTCTTGGAACTAGGTGAAAAGTTGCCATGAAGTTAGGTCAAAAACCTGCCTAAATTAGGGCAAAATTTCACTAAGTTATTTTAGTTCATGGGCATGTATTCACAAAATTATATCTTGAGATCCAAGCATCTTTAGGAAAAAATGTGTGAAGAAAAGTTGTATATTTCACGGAGATCTACATCTTTCATGTTGGGAACTTTCTTTGAGTCATCTTGTATCATGGTGGAAATTTGGCTTAAAGTTGAGAAAATATAAGAAATTTTCTATACTTAGAAAAATTTCTAAGTTAAGAAAATTTCAAATTTCAAAACAAAATCTTCAATCTTTGATTTCTTGATGAACAAGTTTCACATTTTGACATGTTTTGATGAATGGTGATCCTTGGCACTTGATTTTGATCAAAAAGTCAAAGTTTGACTTTTCAGTATACAGTTGACTTTTGATTAGTTGACTGTAAATTTCATCTGTCAATCAAATGAA